CACTTGAGAAGAATGTGAATTCTGTAGTTTTGGGGTGTAATTCTCTGTAGATATCTATTAAATCCATTTGGTCTAGTGCTTCATTTAGAGTCTCTGTTTCCTTGCTAATTTTTTGCCTAGAGGATCTATCCAGTGCTGTCAACGGGGTGTTGCAGTCCCCTGCTATGATTGCCTTCTTCCCTCACCAAATTAGGAAAGTTTTCTGTCACTATTTCTTTGAATATATTCTCTAACCCTCGCTCATTTTCTTCTTCTTTGGGGACTCCTATGATGCGAATGTTATTACGTTTCCAGTTGTCCCACGGTTCTCTTAAGTTGTCTTCCTGGTTTTTAATCGTTTTTTCCTTTTGGTTTTCTGATTGGTTGATTTTTTTTCTACCCTGTCTTCTAATTCACTGATCCAGTCCTCAGCTTCCTCTACTCTGCTTTTTAGACCTTCCAATGTGTTTTTCGTTTCTGATACGTCGTTTTTAATTTCCAACTGGTTGATTTTCAACATTTCTGTTTTCACTCATGGTCCTCTTGTCCTTACACATGCTGTTGAGCTTCCTCAAGATCATGGCTCTGAATTTTAGTTCTGTTAACTTGCTTAACTGCACCTCTATCTCATCTTCGGTAGAGGTCTCTTGTTCTTTCATTTGGCTTCTGTTTCTGTTTTTCACCATTTTGGCTATCACAGTGGGCTTTGGAGTCTGCCAAATTTTCCCTGTGGGTGTTGGTGTTCTGCTGTTTGTGGTTCCCTCTCCTGGGTTTGAATGAGGAAGGGAGGACCCACTTTAACCACCACTGTCAAGTCTTAACTTTCCTCTAGCTTTTTTTTTTTTTCTTTTTTTGCCTGGAGGCTATTAGTAGAGGTCACCTGAAGAACCTTGGTTTCTGAGTTGCCTGAAAAACTCCCTCAGGTGCTCAGTGTAAGAGGATTTCCTGAGAATGGGGCAGTGCTTGTTGGTAATGGGCCTCAATTAGCATTTCAATGGCCACCAGGTGGGGTTGAATCTCCGAGGGAGGGTCTGGGAGGGTCTGCCGCCTCTCCCCAGGGCCCTGGGAAGGAGTAAAATGACCACAGTCCTGCATGGCTGCACTCAGCAAAAGCTCTGAGCACCCTCCAAATTCCAAGTGTCCCCACACAGTTCCAGTCCCGTCTGCCTTCCCTCTGCCGGAGCCCAAGGTGAGTGGCTGCTCCCAATTTAGCCTCTGTCCAGACACTGTGTTGTGGAGCCGCCTGGGACTTTTAACCCGAAGGCGCTGCTCCCAGCTAAGCAGCTCAGGGCAGCCGTGTCTGGGGCACCAGCCGAGGGCGTAGCACTCAGCGGTTCACAGGACTTAACCGTGTTCGCAGCTGAGGCAGCAGCAGCTTCCCGCCGAGTCCCCTGATCCCAGCTGAGTCCCTGCAGCACCAGCCGAGGGCTTAGCATGCAGCCGAGGCAGCAGCAGCTTCCCGCCAAGTCCCCTGGTCCCAGTCGAGTCCGTGCAGCACCATCTGAGGGCTTAGCTTGCAGCCGAGGCAGCAGCAGCTTCCAGCTGAGTCCCCTGGTCCCAGCTGAGTTCGCTGGTCCCAGCCCAGGCCGCTGCGGACTGTGGGCTCCTGGCCCCCTCTCACGTCCTCGCAAGCCTACCAGGATTGAGTCAGTGTCCCTGGTTATGTGGTGCTCCAGGCTGCCTTTCGGTTGCTCCTTCCTGATTTGTCTTTATTTTTGTTGTAAATCCAGTTTGGTCCTGGGAGATGGTCTGTGTAGCTCCATTCACTCCACCGCCATTTTTTGTCTCTCAAAACAGTCATTCTTATAGGAGTCTTTCTGCCCCCAGCGCCTTCCTTTATGAATTTAGGAAAAATTGTTGATTTTTCAGTCTGTTAGGATGGAGTGATGACTTCCAAACTCTTTACGTGCATAACCAGAAACTGTCTAATTTACTATTTGTGGAGTGGAAATTGGTACAGTATTTATTAAAGCAGTCTTAATTTTCTACTTAGACTAAAACTCTGCATGCCCCTTGACCTAGCATTTCTACCTATGGACGTACTAGAATGAATGAGCAAAAATGTAAGTGCCAGAACATGTTTTGGCAGCAGCATTTTTATTTTATTTTATCTTTTAAATTTTTATTTTTTAACCCTCACCCAAGGATATTTTTCCATTGATTTTCAGATGAGTGGGAGGGAGGGAGAGAGAGACAGAGAGAGGGAGAGAGAGAAACATCTATCTGAGAGAGACACATTGATTGATTGCCTCCCACACAACCCCAACCAGGGCCGGGGATCAAACTTCAACCTAGGTACATGCCCTTGACTGGAATCAAACCTGAGACTCTTTGGTCTATAGGCTGATGCTCTAACCTCTGAGCCAAACTGGTCCGGGCAACAGCAGCATTTTTAATATAGGAATGAAATATGATATATTTATACAATAAAATGCTATCCAATTGCTAAAAAGAAATGAGTTAGCTCAGTATATCCTGACATGGAAAGAAGTCCAAGACATGTTGTGAAGTGGAAGGAGAAAATAGGAAGTTTCAAAATGGTATGTTCAAGTTTCAGTTTCAGTTTAAAACTTATTCATAGTAAAAAACGAAGGCATGCTTAAAGAAGAAAGACAATGTTGGAAAATATATACCAGAAAAGTATTGTTTTCCTAAGGGACAGTATTATAAGAAGGATGTTAATATATTAAGGACATTTGTGTCTTCTGTGGTGAATATCTATTTTATAATTAAGTAAATATTCAAGAAACAAAATGGGTGGGGACTGATAGAGCTAGCTGAGAACAATATAACAGGACTGATTCTTTCTATCACTTTTGCCTACATCAGGCAAAGTGCAGTAATAATCTTTGACTCTAAATTTTAATTTACCTTCTGAGAATAGGTAAGACTAGGCCCAAATAAATGGAAATATTAAATCTCCTTGTGTTCCATTTGCTCTTCAGAAGGTGACAGCCATAAAATGACAAGGGTTCTAAAGAGAAGTGTTTCACCAGTGAATGTTTTCATGTAGAGTTTTTTATCATTAATCCTTTCAGTAAAATTTTTAGCAAGAAAAATTTCCCCTCTGCAGAGAAGCAGTTTCTTTAGTTCTATTGCGTCAAGATTACTTGTTTGTTGTACCCAAGAAACGTTTATAATGGAAGTTTCATTATCATTATTAATATTATTATTATTATTAGTCCTCACTTGAGCATATTTTCCATTGATTTTTTAGATTGAGTAGTAGGGAGGAAAGGAGAGAGAGAGAGAGAGAGAGAGAGAAACATTGATGTGAGAGACACATCGATTGGTTGCCTCCCATTGAGGTCCATTGAGGTCCAGGGATCGAACCTGAAACCGAGGTATGTACCCTTGACTGGAAATCAAACCTGCACTCTCACTTTGTGGGCCAGCACTCTTAACTGCTAAGCCAAACCAGCCAGGGCTGTAGGGCTGTAATGGGATTTTTTATACCATGTATCTCTCCTTAAAAAGCTGCAGGTTGCGGACCCGATCCCCAGTAGGGGGCATGCAGGAGGCAGCAATCCATGTTTATCTTTCCCTCACTCTTCTTTGCTCTCTTTAAAATTCAATTTTAAAAAAAATCTTCGCCCTGGCCGGTTTGGCTCAGCAGTTGGAGCGGCGGCCTGCGGTACAGAGAGACCCGGGTTTGGTTCCCGCTAAGGGCACGTACCTCGGTTGCAGTTTGTCCCTGGCCCTGGTTGGTCGTGCGGGTGGCAGCGACTCGATGTGTCCCTTCACATCGATGTTTCTCTCTCTCTCTCTCTCTTCCTCTCTCTCCCTCCCACTCTATCTGAACAAAAAATGGAAAACTGTCTTCGGGTGAGGATTAAAAAAAAAAAATCAATTTAACAAGCTCAGAAGGAGATTAATGGAGCAGTGGTAACTGTGAAAGCTATTTGACTTCTGTTATAAAATATGGTTTATGTCTACAGTTTTCCTGCTGGAATGGTATCTTGTCTACAGTTTTCCTGCTGGAATGGTATCTTAGCCCCCTGTAGGATGACTGAATGTAGGCTAATATTCTTCTGAGTCACTTATCCTGTTGTCTTCCTAGTCTGACTAAATTTCATTTCCCATTTAGATCCTATGTTGGATTCCTGGATCCAATTCCAAGGTTTGGGGGCGGGGGCTTCCCACACAACACCAAGCAGGTCTCAGATACCAGCAGAGTATCCAGAAATTCAGCTCGATTCTGACGCTATCTACCCAGAGACAGTTTCAGATCCCACAGGTTAAGGGCTCAGTCCTACAAGATTATCCTCCCAACTGCCCTCACTTTCAGGCACAAGTCCAGGTTTTTACCTGTCCCTCTGATAGACCAGCTAAAAAGCAGAGGTTCCCAAGACCCCCTTTTTGAGTTGTGTTAATTTGCTAGAGAGGCTCACACAACTCAGGAAACATTTTATTTAGTAGATCACTGGTTTATTCTAAAAGGATGTAACTCAGGAACATCCAGGTAGAAGAGATGCATAGGGTAAGGCATGGGGAACGGTGCAGAGCTTCCATTCTCTTTCCAGGTACACCATCCTCCCAGCACCTCCACCAGCCTGTAAACTCTCCGAACCCTGTCTTAGGTTTTTATGAAGGTTTCATTATATAGACATGCCTGATTAAATCATCGGCCATTCTCCTGTCCCTCTTTCATCCCTGGAGGTTGGGGTTGGCACTGAAAGTTCCAACCATCTAATCACATGGTTGGCTCTACTGGCCCTTAGGTGCCGTCCAGAAATCGCCTCATTGACATGAGACAGCTTTAAACTCTCATCACTTAGGAAATTCCAAGGTTTCAGGAGCTGTGAGCCAGAAACCATCAATAAAAACCAAATATATATGAGAGATATGTATGTATTTGGTCATCTGTGTGATCAAATATACATATATATATATATGTTTCTTATAAATCACAATATCATACATTCTAACATAGTTGTTTTCTATGTATGATGTGTTCTTCTAAATTATTAATTTTATATAATAATTTGTTGCTGTTTGACCCTCTGTAAATTTCCTAACAGAAGTCCCAGAGGGGACTTGGGTGCCAAAAAGAAAAAGAAGAAACAGAAGAGAAAAAAGGAGAAACCAAATTCTGGAGGCACCAAGTCAGACTCTGCATCTGATTCCCAGGAGATTAAGATTCAGCAGCCTTCAAAAGTGAGAGCCCTGTTTTGTTTTACTCTTTGTGTTTGCTCATGCATGTGAGAGCAGGTTTGTGCAGCTCAGCGTCCTGTTGGATCAGAGGTGGAGTGAGGGTTTTGTTGTGACTGTACTGATAGTAACCAGAGGGTACTTACAGCTTCTTAAGTCTCACTTCGGCACCCAGATAACAAAGACGTACATACTGTGCTTTTGTGTGTACTAAGATATCGCCTGCATATTTCTCAGCAAAATAGTGTAAAGATTGTAATCATAGAACAAAGTCTCAGTGTGAGCTATTAGGAATTTTTTTTAAGTTACACTTGATATTTGATGACTTTTAGTTCAGAAGATATTCACATTTTAATTTTTCTGGGTGTCTGTCTAATTATCTGAATAGCACAACACCATCTGGCAGCAGATTTCAGCGGGAGCAGCCACGGGTAAGTCTTACATTGACTTTGAATCAGACCAGTCTTCAGTGGCCATTCTTAATTCCATTGCCAAGGGTGGGTAATAGCTCCTAATGTTTCCCCTGAAGAAACATTCATTTAAACTAAACCAGAAGTTATCTGGCTGGGCACTGTGTTGGCAGATGGGTACATCTGGTGGTGCAGATGGCAGGTGCCCCTTTCTGTAGGGCCAACCCAGTCACCCTAGCTGTGAACACAGGCCTTTTGTGTTGGGCCCAGGGAAGCACAGAGCCTTCTTGATGCAAGACACTTGCAGCAAAAAGGGGTAGAATTATAAATATAATGAAATCGAGTTATTTTGATACTTGTAGTGTGTGTAAATGGGAAGGGCTCAGGAGGTGTGATGGGGAACCCAGACTCAGTCCTGGCCCCATGGCTCTTGAGCTTGGTCTTTGTACAGGCTTCTGCCCCTCCTTAAGCCCGTTTTCTGATCTGCAAAATGGGGACGATGCTTTCTCCCCAACTCACAAAGTTGTCATGAGGTTACAATCAGAACATTTTTATTAAATGTTCTTTATATTATAAAACACTCTGTGTACATGGCAGTTATAACCGTTACGCAAGTTTTGTGGGGTTAAAATTGTTTTTCTTGTACAAAGTTTGCAGTGTGTTGCATGAAGTGGATCTTGCAGGTAGCTTTGTTGTTGTTGCCTGTTTTACACTTAAGGACCAGGAATCACTGAGAAGGAAAATTTCTTGCCCCAATTTCCCCCTGACTGCCTTTGTGGGGTGAGAAGAAAATGGAGTCTTCCTCCCTAGCTTTTCACCTTGGTTCTCAGGTAATAAATATTCTATCCACTGGTCATAATTTCCAAGGTAACTCATATAAGGTACACCATAAGCTTGCAAGGTTTTCCCCCCCATTTTTAAACATTGCTTCATCAGATAAATGCGGTGTAACTTATATGCAGTTGTGACCATTTCCTTAATGCTTCTGTCATCACCATCAGCTTCTACCATCTCTGTACCCTAGTGATTTTGAGCCCTCCTCGTTTCTGGTCACTTTAAAAAAAAAATAGAGCCAGCTAACGTGGGAGGATATGTTAGCATTGTATGGTAGATAAATTCTGTTCTTTTAACAATTAAGAATAAATTAAAATTGTTTTAATGTGGGCTATTTCTATAGCATTTTTTAAAACTTTGGCTCCTTTCTTTTAAGCTGATGCCAGCTTTAGATAACACAGTAAATTATAGTGGACCCTGTTTAGAGAATATCCTGGTGTCCACACAAGAACCAGAATGAAGTATTTGTTTGGATTCTTGTAGATTTCCAAAGTATTAAATTAGAAAGTAATAGGTAAAGAGAACAGTTGATGTACTTACATCACAGGAGCAGCTATGGAGGAAGAGAGGCCTGCCTCTTATTCAGGAACAGAGAGTGAAGCTAATGCCGGGTTGGTACACATTCTCACCTTTCCTAACACGAATTTATTCCTCCCAGGTGATGCTTCTACTGAAGGTGAATGGATAGGTTTAAGAATTTATCAAAGCTGAGTTTTCCATACCGCTTTGTCACCATGGATTTGAAAATTGTGCTTACTTGACTGTACTTCAAGAAAGTATTTAAATTAATCATATGCTATTAGGGTATAAATTAATCCCAATGGGATATAAATTCATAAATGGTGATTTCATATAAACACTACTGGTCAACCTGTTGAGGCTAATTAGGTTGAGTGGAAAGCACTCTTAGTGCCTCTTCATGGAGTTGGGATACCATTGGCTCTTTTGGCTAAAAGATGTTGACTTATGTTTGTTACAAAATAGTTTGAGTTTCTTCTATTAGTGTCAGTGGATTTAACTCATAGCAGGGAAGGAGAATTAGCATGACATTTAGTGCAGACACTGTAGGTGTATTTCTGTAAGGGTGGGTTCTACTTTGCCTTTTGAAAGATGTAGGGATGCAGGTTGAAGTGTTATTACCTGGGATACGCTGTGCTCTCAGTTCCTGTTTGAAGTATAGGTCTCCCAACAGGTTGTGTTGTTGGGGGTCCAATTGAATGTATATTTCACTTTGCTAGAAACCAGTTTTGTGCTAAAGGTTCAAAAGAGATGTGAGAAAATTTTCAATGCACTAGCTTTTTTAGAAGAGAAAGTATTTTGTTAACGTAGTATGTGTAAATGAGGTATGACTTATGATATAAACTTCAATCAAAATATAAGATAAACAGCTTACAAAAATTGTAGCAGTCCTAGGTGATGCTGTTGGACCCGTAAGGAGAGATGTTAAGACTTTACCCTACCTCTGGTTAGTGTCCAGCATTTTGTTCCTTGAATCATTTTAGTGGCAAGAACCTTAAGGGAACCCAATGAGTAAAGCATCCACAGGGTAGTCTATTAAATAAATCCTGTTTTGTACCTGGTCAAACAACTAAGTCTCCAAGTTAAAAGATTTGCTCCAAACCACACACGTGATGGTCAAAGTTGAGCAGAAGTTCAGAGCTGCTGTTATAAACAACAGAGGGTCAGTGATCCCTTTCCTTGATGCCCATGGTATATTGACATACAGGAAACCTAAGGGCTCTGGAATTCCTTCTAACCACTTCTGAACTGAATGAAGAGCATTCTTTGGATGGCATCAACATTCTGCAACCAATCAATAATTTTGCATGTTGAATAAACTCACCAATTTCCATATTCAATCCTACATGCTATTCTCTCATTTTCAGAGTAGTTTCATTTTCCATGCAGTATGACATTATTTGAGGGGTTTTACAAAAACAAAAAAACTGGGGAATCTTCAGTGATGACAGAAATATTGGTTTTGAGGAAGGAACTTTAGAATTTAAAGGTATTATCAATTTTATAGACTGAGACTGTTTTATTTTAAAAAGGAGGTTGGTTGTGAACTATTGGTGGAGAGAACAGGCTAGGGTTGCCAAAGATTTGAATTCCTGGAGGAAACTGCTGGTCCTTTTAGGAAGGTTTGTTTCTGGAGGAGTGTCAGGGGTAGGAGAGGGAGAGTGTGGTCCAGGAGGAAGGCATCCTTAGAGGTTTCCTTTCCTGATTCACTTCGTTCCCAGTTCAGTACTAAATTCAGATTTCTTTCTTCTCCTTCTCAACGAATCTAAATTGCCCTTGTCTGCCTAGTTTCATCCTGGAAGTTATTTCCTTTGTCTCCACATTGCTACTGCAGAGCATTAACCCAGACAGTGAAACCAAGGCTAGTGGCTGACTGGCTGCCGTATGATAGTAATGCATGAATTGCATGTCACTTCTTTTTGCTGCTCCGCTCAGATGAGTGATGGTCAAGACCATCTGCAGATGGGTGGGAAACTAAAGCACAGGGTGGTTTGATTTACTTTATATTCCCCAAACTGTCAGAGCCCCAGTAAAACTATAGCACTATGGTTATCTTTAGCATAATATGTTTGCTTATATTTTAATATGTTAGCATACATGAACCTAAGGCCCTGACCAGGTTTAGAGAAGGACTGTTCGTTTTTCGGTATTGTAGTCTCCGAGGCAGATGATGTGTCTCTGCCCCAGGTTTTGGAGCGGCAGCAGCTTCCTCATAGTTTGTGTTTGTGTGTCTTTGCTGTTGCAGAATCCTGCCATTCCAGTGCAGAAGTTGCAGGGCATCCAGAGAGCAATGGAGCTGTTATCTGCATGCCAGGGTCCCGCCAGGAGCATCAGTGAAGCTGCCAAACACAAATACCAGTTTTGGGACACACAGCTGGTACCCAAACTAAGTAAGTTATTCTGCCTTTCCCCCCAAACAAAGCTGGGTGAACAACAAACAAAACACACAAAAGAGGCTTCACTTCACTTACGTAACTTGCTTTGTACTACAGATTAGAAATTTACACAAAGGTGATACTTTTATTCTTCAAAATATATATATTAAGTAGTGACATTGGCTTTCATGGAGTTGTTTTTCTTTACTTAAATTTTTAGCAGTCTCACATCCGAGTTATTCCTAAAGATCAAAACTTTGACCTGTTAAATCTTACTGAAATGGAAAACTTTGCGCAAATGTTTAACAATAAGATTCTGAACACTCACCAGTGGTGTTGATAATATTCCAGTATAATAGGGAATTGGGAAACCTGAAGGACTTCATGAGGGCTTTGAGTCATGTAACCCTTTCTAACAGGCCTCTTCCCTCAGTGCTTTGCCTGCTCCATGACATTTCACTTAGACTTTTACCACTTAAGTTTCCATAAATGCCATTTAATTGTTTCTCTTTCATGCACTGGGGTACGTAATGGGGAAATGGTGCTGCAAAAGTAGGATAGGGGTGGCCAGGTGAGGAGGATATACTCCAGGTAGGAACCAGCCTTAGTCAGCGAAAGACACTGTGAGAAAGCTGTGTGTGAGAAAACTCAGTGGCTAGCCCTGTGAGGAGCATGGGGAAGGCTCTGAGCTGGGGCCAGCATGAGGGCGGTCAGTGTGGCTAAGCCTGGGAGCTGGGCTGGATGGGTGTGCCCAGGGTACCCAGGCAGTCAGGGACATGCTCAGGAGCCTGGCTTTTATCCCAGGCACATTGGGAAGCTCCAGAGAAGACGTTGGAAAGGGCATCTTTGTGGAAATTGCTAGAAACTTTGCTGACTTGAACTGCGCTACCAGCAACCCAGGTGGAGAGACAAACAGTTCTGAAATTAATTTTAGCTTTCGCTGGAAGGAGTCAGAGGCCTCTGCAGCCCTTCTCCCCCACCCCCAGTTAGTTGAAGTGCAGAATGAAAATGGAACATCTCTAAGTCTGCCGTCAGAACTACCTTGTCTCCCACGGTGCTGTACAATTAATCTGTACTCTCGGGGCTGAGACTGAGAATCACCATCGTTTCATTATACACTTTGTTCTTGCATGACAGAGGATTTCTCCTTTTAGTGGTGAGATAGCAGTTGTTCACCACCACTACCTAACTACCCAGTTTTACTCTAGCGGTAGCTGAAATAATAGTATATTAATGATTATATTAAACCCAAGGGCCCTAATGTGACTTTATGTAATGGACCATTTTGGTCATCAGAATAGTTTGTAAGTGAATATTCCCTCTGTTTGTCTTCTTTTCTCTCCCTCTACAGATGAAGTGATAACGTCTCATGGTGCGATTGAAGCAGATAAAGACAACGTGCGTCAAGAACCATATTCCTTGCCACAGGGTTTTATGTGGGACACTTTAGATTTGGGTAATGCTGAAGTGGTGAGTGCAGCTCTTATTTTCAACACCCCAGACATGCAGACTGCTTCTGAGTAGGTTCAGAGACCATAGACATGACACCTGTTTGATCTTGTAGCTCAAGGAGTTGTACACCTTGCTAAACGAGAATTATGTGGAGGACGACGACAACATGTTCCGGTTTGACTATTCGCCCGAGTTCCTGCTGTGGTGAGTCTCGCTGGTCTCACGGGCAGGGTGGGGCGGTGGGCTGGCATGTCTCTGTCTGTCCCTGTATTCTTGGACACTAACTGGCACCTGTTTGCCTGTGTGGACTTCAGGGCTCTGCGTCCCCCGGGCTGGCTTCTTCAGTGGCACTGTGGAGTCAGAGTATCTTCGAACAAAAAACTGGTAGGGTTCATAAGTGCCATCCCAGCAAACATTCGGATATACGACAGGTACCTATTAAAACTTGCCTGTGTCAGTTCTGATGTGTTGATTTTTCAAGAATTTCAACTATAAGATGCTCTAAAAAGTGGCTTAATACAGGCTGTTGATTGAGGAGAGATCGTTTGGAGGGGACAGGGATATATAGGAACTCTATACGTTCTGCTCAGTTTTGCTGTGAACTTAAAACTGCTCTAAAAAATAAAGTCTATTGATTTTTTTTTTGTAAACATTGGTCTGTGAATAAAAAGGGACAACTCTTTTTCTCCCTCTGCCTCTCAGTCTCATATGTGCATACATACAGATGTTTTGTGTACATATACACACGTACATATATATGTGTATATATGTATGTAGCAGAATAAACAAAGCTATAAATAGGTATTTCAGATTTATTTCTGAAGAAAAAAATTAAAAATTTTAGGAAAGATTTTATAAAATTTTTCTCTTTCATAGAATGAGTGTGTTGCGTTTTTGCTCTGGGTCTTTAGTCTAGAAAGTCAAAGACCCAGCTGAAAAACTCAAAGATCTAATGCATAATAGGTCTGTTTACCTTTCAGTATATTGGGTTATTTACTGCTAAAAAACATTTCCTCCCAAGGACTATTGCGTGCTGAATGAAATGCCTGCATACCTGGAACCAGGGCAGGGACGGGACGGGCTCGGAAGGTCTAGAGCAGTGAACCCTCCTAATGCTGCGACCCTTTAATACAGCTCCTCATGTTGTATGTGGGCTGACCCACGTGGGATGGATAGAGGAGCAGTGACTTGGTTCCTAAGACCATCGGAAATATGTGTTTTCCGATGGTCTTGGGTGACCCCTGTGAAAGGGTTGTTCGACCCTCAAAGGGGTCGCAACCAACAGGTTGAGAACCACTAGTCTAGAAGGTTTATTGTAGCTCAGAACAGCACCAGGTTTCATCTGGTCCTGGCAGCTGTCAGGGGCCCTGGGGATTGCATTATATCCCGAGCCCCATCCTGTCAGATTCTGCATGTGAGTGACCCAGTTATTGCCATAATTGTTATTGCCATAATTACAGGAAACACACAGAGAGAAACTCAGAGGCACCTCAGATCCAGCTTCTAAACTGAGAACTTAGAAGAGACCAAAGTCCTAAAATGAATTTAGAATAAGAGGTTTGCATCTCCAAGGAGTTATAATCATTTTGGTAGGGGTATATGGGAAATAGTGTGTATCGAGAGGATAGAGTATTTTTCTTAAATATAATATTTAAGGATGTCTTTTTTGAAATGTTATGGCTGTTGTCTTATTTTTAAAAATGTTTTCATCTTGTGTTTGCTCTAATTTTTGACATCTTTATTTCCCAGTGAAGAAGATGGTCAAAATTAACTTTCTCTGTGTTCATTAGAACTTGAGATCAAAACAGGTAGTCCCAGTGTCAATTTGAGAAATAACTAGAAGAGTGAACCTGGAGGGATTTTCCAGGCCGTTATACTGCTGGCATGGTTCTTCCTAAGCCAGTGGCCACATGCAGGTAATAGCAACACCCTTACCTTGCATCTCACCTGTACCTAAGCATTGAGCCTCCCTGCCGTGTTGCTAGAAGTGTTCTTCTCCTCACGTGTATGTAGCTCAGAGGGATCTTGGCTCACCCGTGGTCCTGTATGTGGTTAGTAGCAGAGATGGAGACTAGAAGCAAGAACCACCAAGCCCAGCTCCTTTCCAGTTTTCCCACAGCCCGTGTACGCAGCGCTGGAGCTGTGCTGCAGTGCAGCTTCCATTGGAAAGACAAGGGCTGTGTCTACCTTGGGGAAACCCAGGGCCTGGTGATGGGAAACTACCCTGGGTGGTGCCGTTTTCTTTCCTCCTCTAACACTCAGTCTTACACCATGCTCTGCAGGGCTGTTCCAAAAGCCTGATAAATATCCCTTGAAAAGCCCAGGCGTACTTGTTTACTAAGAATAAGAAGAGGCCCGGCTAGTTGAGCATCAACCCATGCACCAAGAGGTTGCTGGTTTGATTCCTGGTTAGGGCACATGCCCAGGTTGTGAGCCCAATCCCCAGTGGGGGACGTGCAAGAGGCAGCCAATCAGTGTTCTCTTTCATCACTGATTCTCTCTCTCTTTCCCCCTCTCCCTTCCTCTCTCTATAAAATCAATAAAGAAAAAAAAAGTATAAGAGGAGGCTTAAGCTCTGTTTTTAAGACTCCATCTGCTCTTATCAAGCTTTCAAAGGTTAATCCAGGGAGAAAATTGTGAATCAAATTGTCACTGGACTAACCTGTTTCTGAAGAATCAGAGTTTTTCTCCCTCCACTATTTTTACTGAATCAAATAAAATGACAGTTCATGTAAACATACTATTAAAAAGCACATAAAATTACTATGTCCTGTTCAATTACTCATACATAAACAGAACAAATAAGACTTCATAATGAGTGAGAGGTACTTATACCGCAGGTACATATTAATTCAAGTCATTTATCCCAATACCTAAACTGGAATAATTTAAGGAATTCAAGCTAGTTTCTTGGAAAGTTGTTTTCTTGCCCTGTGGCTGGTGTGGCTTGGTTGAGTGTCGTCCCACACACCAAAAAGTCGCTGGTTCATTTCCCAGTCTGGGCACATGCCCAGGTTGCAGGTTCAGTCCTTGGTTGTGGTGTGTAAGGGAGGCAACTGATTGTTGTTTCTCTTTCATATCAATGTTTCTCTCTGTGTGTCCTCTTCCTTCCTCTCTCTCTAAAATCAGTTTTTTAAAAAGTTATTTTCTTTGATGTGTGTTACATAAATACGGAGGCTACTAATTTAAAGGGGATATTTTCATGTTTTTAACCTTACTGGTTTGCTTTCTGTAGAATTGGTGATGGTTATTAAATACTTGCTAGAAGGGCATTATTAATATGACTTTTACAACTTTAAGATACCTCTTTACTGAATGAGATGAAACTGCAAAGGAACAAAACTAGGAATGCAGGACATATTTTAGAGGTAACAAATGACTGAGAAAGTAACTGCATTGCAAGAGGGCTCAGCACCCAGCATTGTGCCAGACACAACAGAAACATTCATTAAGTGTTCTACAGCAGCTGAGCTGAGACAGAGGAAAAACTTGCAGAGTTAAAATTCAGTTCCATTTTCAAACCTTTATTGTATTCCAGATACTGGTATTGATCACCAAATCCCAGAAAACTGGTAGAAGTAAAATTTTCTCATGTGAGTAGAAATATGACTTTACAGAGAACAATGAAGCTGAACAGACTTCCAGATGTAAGTAAAAATGATTTGCAGTTTTTCAAGTCTTTATACTGAAGCTTTTAATGTAGAAAAGAATTACTTGCAGGAGTCTGAAAAATTGGCTTATGTATTTGAGGATATGCATAGGTAGGTAAAATGTCTGGATAGAACTCAGGGGCTGGTACAAGTAAGGGAGTTTGCTAGGAAATACCAGTTTGTTTCTTCTTTCAAGGCTTTTTAGCTTCTTCAGTTTGTGGTTGGATACAAAATGAACTCAAGACATGTAAACTGACATTTTGAGTATTTATGGTCTGTTAAGTAAGAGGGGAGAAAAGTTTCAGGCTTCTGATGAAATCTTAACTCAATGGAACTAAGGAATAAGGTTTAGAGGAGAGACCTGGGAGAGGAAATAATGTCTTAATAAATTATCATTTTTTTAAAATTAGCAAATTCCTAATATGAAAAATTATCTTTGTCTTAACAGGGAGAAATGTATTTGTTTTTATTATTTAAAAAAATATATATATATATATTTTTTACTCTGGCCGGTTTGGCTCAGCAGTAAGAGCGTCGGCCTGTGGTCCAGAGAGACCCAGGTTCGGTTCCCACTAAGGGCACATACCTCGGTTGCAGTTTGTCCCCGGCCCTGGTTGGGTCGTGCGGGTGGCAACCACTCGATGTGTCCCTTTCAAGTCGATGTTTCTCTCTCTCTCTCTCTCTCTCTCTCTCTCTCTCTCCCCCCCCCCCCCCCCTCTCTCTCCCTCCCTTTCCCTCCCTCCCTCCCACTCTATCTGAACAAAATATGGAAAAATGTCCTCGGGTGAGGATAAAAAAAATAAATAAATACTTTTTTTTTTTTAATTTCACTCATCTCCTCCAAACCCTCCCCTTTGGCAATCATCAACTTGTTCTCTATAGCCATGGGTCTGTTACTGTTTTGTTTTGTTTATTCATTTGTTTTTCTTTTCTTTTTTTAGATTTTACATATAAATGAAATTATATGGTATTTGTCTTTTTCTGACTTATTTCACTAAGCATAATACTCTCTACTTCTATCCATGTTGTTGCAAATGACAATATTTTATTCTTTTTTATTGCTGAGTAATATTCTATTGTAAAAATTTAAATGTGCTCACCAGTCTTGACTTGGGTGGTGTATTAGTCATCTCTTGGTCTGTAACAAATGACTACAAATGTAGAGGCTTAACACCACACATTTTCTGTGTCCAGGGTTCTATGGGTCAGGAAAGAAGGCACAGCCAGCTGAGGCCTCTGCTTCAGGGTCTCTGAGGAAGCTGCCATCAAGGTGTCAGCCCGGTCTCCTCTCCCCTGAGAGCTTGACAGGGATGGTTCCACTCCAAAGTGCTCATGGCCACTGTTAGGCTTGAGTTCCTAGCGGGCAGTTGGACTAAGGGCCTCAGTTCCTTGCTGTCAGCCCAAGCCACCCTCAGTTGTTTGCCACATGGGAGTTTCCAGAGGGTGGCTGAAAAAATGGCAGCTTGTTCATCACAGCCAGTGAGGAGAGCATCCATAGAGAGACTGTCCTCACAGCTGGATGTTAGAACTTACCCAGTTCACAAAAGTGACATCCAGTCACCGTTGCCTGGGATAGACACAAGTCACAGGTACCACCACACTTGAGAGTAGTGGGTCACAGGAGCGTGAACACCAGAGGTGGACCTCACTGGGATCATTTTAGAATCTGTCTGCCACAGATGGGCTCATTGTTTGACATTTTGATTTCTTCTGAGTTATTCTATTTGGGGGGGGGGGGGTGTTTACAAAGCAGCTTAGTAGATATTTTACCCTGGTTGAAATGTGGGATGTAGCCATATTCCTCTCTAACGTGCTGAGGGCCTCCCCTGGGGTCATTCTAGGTGCACGTACTTGGTTCCTTTGTCTTTTGGCCATTGGTGTGTTTGCTAAATGCATGTGATCAGTGGCTGTATGAATTGATGTCTTTTTTCTGATAGTAGATGAGAATCACCAAATGTCCGACCTTAGGCAGAATTTAATAAGGAGAGGAGTGCAGGTGCATGAAAGTGGATGTTGGAGTGTTGGGGTCATCGTTCTTGGGCTGTGTGACCTGGCAGGAGTGGAAGGCATGTTCTTCTCTCTGTCTGAGCTGTTGTTGCAGAAGTGGGGGCTCAAACTACTGAGCTCACTGCCTCTCTGTGAGGCCAAGGAGAGACGGGGATCATAGTTCAGAGCAGATGAAAATAAAAACACAGTGACATGAAGGAGGAGGGTGCAGGCCTCTCAAGCCAGGGTGACAGAAAGGAAATGAAGAAATAGAATATTCTAAGAGGTCACTATCGTCATGACAGTGAATATTTACTGATTCTTTGAAGCTAAAAACAATTTCTGCTCATGGCCAGGACCATGAGGGACAGAGTCATAGGGGCATAATTGGCAGTGAGAGAAAAGGGACACCGCACCCTGCTGAGAGGGAACACACCCTCTGTAGGCACCGTTCATTCTCAGCGTCCTCCTTGCCAGCTGTTAGCTGCTTTGCTGTCTGTGAGTTGCTGGAACGAAACCTTCAGGCCCACCTGCTTTCTTCACTAGAGGCTGATGCTGTACTACTTTGGTCTCCCCAGACTTCAGCTTGTGGAACCTCAGGCATCTAGCATGTGTCTAAGGAAAGCGCCACTTTTTTTTTTTTTTATCCTCGCCCTAGGACATTTTTGCATTTATCTTCAGTTAGAGTGGGAGGGAAAGAGGGAGGAAGAGAGAGAGAGAGAGACATTGATGTGAGAGAGACACATCGAGTGGTTGCCACGCACACAACCCCAGCCGGGGCCGGGGACAAACTGCAACTGAGGTACATGCCCTTAACGGGAACTGAACCCAGGACTCTCTGGTCCGCGGGCCAACGCTCTAACCGCTGAGCCAAACCGGCCAGGGCTGCATATATGTTTCACTGAAGGTTCCTCATCTACATCCTCCTACCCAGTTTTCCTTCCTTTAGAGACTTGAGGTAGCAATTCTCAGACTGTGCCCAGGGACCCTGGAAGTCCCCAAGATGCTTTCAGTGGTCCAGGAAGACAACTATTTTTATAATAACACTAAAACATAATTTGCATTTTTTACTTTTATTATCTTACATGTGTGCTGTGAAGTTTTCCAGAGGCTATATGAAATGTGTCCTTATATATTGTTTTGTTTTAAATTTTCTAGTTTAATTTCTGCTATGACAAATATGGGTGGATATAACTATGTTAGCAAGGCTCTGTGGGAATGGAGGACTCAATAATTTTTCAGAGCATAAACGGGAGGCTGCATCTGCTTGCAGGATGCTGATGGTTTCACAGTGTGAATATTGAGTGCATGAGAACTGGGCTACAGAAGGATATTTTGCTTTAGAAAGAAGTTAGCAGGCCTCTTCTTCATTTCTGAGTGTTCTCCATTAACATGCCATGTGTCCTGTTGCTTTTATTGAGTAATCTAATTGCTTGATATTGTTGATTGTTACTGAACCAGTAACAAAAGAAAAATGTCTAACATTGAGAAAGGCTATATGAAATTTCCCAGGTCATTGTCATAGAAGAAAATAATCTTTTTTAAGGACTGCAGTGTGCATCCTATATGGTTTTGCTCTTCCAACTAGCATTTAGAAATTGATATATTGATTACATTTAACAGTATTTGGAAACACATAGGTTCCATCTTTCCATGGATTGCAGTATAAACATGCTCCCAATGCTAAAGTTGGCTCAGGGGGAACAAAAGAAAAATGTAATTTCACGCCTGACTTGCATGTAAATGTCAGGCCACAGAAGAGTCATCTTTTCATAGCTGATAGTGACTTTTTTCCATGTCTGTAGCCTTTACCTCACCTTATAAATGATTGTGGTACAAAACATAGGGATTCATTCAGCACATATCCAGGCTGCTACTGCCCTGCTTGCCTGAAGGGTTAGCCTAGGATGGAAACCAGGGCCTGGAGATTTCTCGTTCTTTGTTTTGAGATCCACAAAAAGCTAGAAGTACAGGTTTTGCATTAAATGTTACGGACTTAAGTTCTCCCAGTGTAGACTATTAAACTATTTAGCTGCATTAGTATAGCTTTATAGATTACATAAATCACAACTGAGTTACATAGTAAATACTCAGTGAAGGACTACTGGGTCTGTAAATACAAAGAACTATATGAAATGTGTGCTTATATATTGTTTTGTTTTAAACAATCTTCCTTCCCCCCACTAATCAATAATCTATCAGCATTCTTTGTTGCAGAACCTTAGAAACCTCAGCACTACTACTAATATCAAGCAGAGCCAGCTCACAGATGCATAACTACTTTCCACCTTGGGCTTCTGCCATACTACTAGTCTGGGGCATGCAGGAACCATAGTGATCTAATTTTAGAGTCAGCTTTTAATTTTAATATATTTAGAAATAATTAGGATTGAAAAGGAAGAGCAGCAATATTTGTATACAAGTTATTGCTTAAATGTATCCACTATTTCAAGGAAAAAAGTTAACTGGAGAAATGAAATCGCATGTCCAAGTATTTTGGTATTTTGTTTGTATAAATTAGCAAATGGAGTGGGTTTTCTCATTTCTAGGCTCGTGTCCTGGTATCTGAGCAGTTCCTAGAGAGCTAAGTGATGTCTGGAGCCCTTTTCAGGACAGGAAGTTGAACATATCCAATTGTTTTGACCTTTATGTTATTGTGTGACCTAATGGAAAAATTGCGACGTTTTGGAAGAATGGACTCAAATGCCTGTTCTGATCACCTTTAATCAAAAGATGGCACGGCAGGCCAGGGCCTGTCCTTGGCAGCCAGCCATTTGCCTTTAGAAAAATCTTGGCTATTAAAATACTTGCCTTCCTGTTCTGATCAGTATGAGTTCATTTTTGTTGCTCACAAGAATAAAATAGCTACATTCCTTTCACAGGCTTTTGAATAAAATAAGTTTCTCAACTCTTTTCAGTTTTGTTTTCAGAATGTCAGACAAGGCAGTTTTAAAACACAATACTCCAGAACACATGCTAAGATTGCTCTGCCTGTCGTGTAGTCTGTTAAAATTCTTGGCATTGGTATATAGATCAACTTGGAGTATGATTTGATTTTGTGTGGGTCATGGGCAATGTTGACCAAAGACCTGGCACACAGAGATAACATATAGCACATTGTCTAGCATGTATTCTAACTCAGTGCTTCTCAAACTTTAATGTGTATACGAATCACCAGGGAATCTTGCTAAGTTGCAGATTCTGACTTGGTAAGTCTGGGGCGGGGCCTAGAGTCTGCAGTTCTAACAAACATCCCTGTGACGCTGATACAGCTGGTCTGCAGACCACATTTTAGTGCAGGTACTTTTTACTTCTCTGTATTTAAACTTCCCAATTTGTTTTGTTTTCATTCTAACAAGGTGACAAAGACTTCAGGCTTGAGACCAATGGAACCAAGAGATATTAAAGCAGTTCGAGAATTAATCAACAGTTACCTGAAGCAGTTTCATCTCGCCCCAGTGATGGATGAAGAGGAAGTAGCCCACTGGTTCCTCCCCCAGGAGCACATTATTGACACATTTGTAGTGGAGGTAAAGATAAGGTGATATTATAGTTCAGAAAAATAGGAAAATACTGTGTCACCGAGTCTGTTTTCTAGAAAAAATCATATAGTGCCACCTCTTTCCTCTTCTTTCGTGGTTTACCGCTTTTATACCGGATTTTTGCTCACCCTACTAGAGCAAGATTTTCTTCTTACAGTTGCCATTCTTGCATAAAACACACTTTTACTACTCGTGATTGGGAAATCATGATGCTTTTCTGTTGCTACCTATGTGATTAATTGCTTTTCTCAATTTTGAAAAAAAAAAAGCCATTTGGATGACCTCCTTTGAGGTAGATACATTCCAAAGTTTAATATTCCTTTGGTTTTGCAAAACTAGAATTGAACTGCCTTTGGTTGAGATTTGGCCACTTAACTCAACCCTCCTTGTTCAGAGGAAGGAAGGAAAAGTAACAGTTCAGATTTTCTGGTTATTGGTTAGACGAGTTTAACATAGTGATTTTTAAACCATTTTTCAAAAGCCCAGAATTTGTTGTACAAGTGCTGTTTCACTTTGAAGCTCTTCTGGTTGAAGTGAGGTGGAGTTGAGAAGTTGGGGTTTAAACTAGTAAGTACCTGGAGGAGAGGAAGGAGTGAGGAGGTCAGTTAGAAGGTACTGTGGAGGGCTGTTCACTATTTAGTCATGAGAATCAAGCTGGAAGTGTATTTTCAGCATTGTCAGGCATTGTCTGGTGTAAAATTATGGCTAAGTTAGGGCAGTAATGGTGGGAGCAGACAGAATGAAGTCAGAGGACATTTCTGAAAAACAGTTGAGCAGTCTTTGTTTTTAAACTTTTATTTGTAAAACAGTGCTGGGGTGGATATCTTTGTGTATAAATCTTTATGTACTTGTGTTTCTCCAGAGCAGTAGTTGTCAAAGTTTTTGATCTCAGGACTCAGACCTTCACTCTTTTAAGAATTATTGAGGCCCTGGCCGGTTTGGCTCAGCGGTAGAGTGTTGGCCCGTGGATCAACGAGTCATGGGTTCAATTCTGGCCAAGGGCACATACCTTGGTTGCAGTCCATCCCTGGCCTTGGTTGGGGTCGTGTGGGAGGTAGCCAGTCGATGTGTCCCTCTTACATCAATGTTTCTCTCTCTCTCTCCCTTTCTCTCCCTCTCTTTCTCTTCCACTCTCTGAAGATAAATAGAAAAATATTCTCGGTTGAGGATTAAAAAAAAAAGAAAAAGAAAAAGAAAAAGAATTACTGAGGACCCTAAAGTCCTTTTTGTTTTTGTGGATTATATCTACAGATATTTACTGTATTCAAATTAAAACAGAAAATTTTAAATATTATTTTCTAAGTCAGACAAAGCCAAATACCATATAATCTCACTTATATGGGGACTCTTTAAAACAACCTCATAGATACAGATAACAGATTGGTGGTTGTCAGAGGTGGGAACTGGGGTTTGAGGGGTGAAATGGGTGAATGTGGTCAAAGGAAAAACTTCTAGTTATAAAATAAGTGCGTCATGAGGATGTACACCATGGTAACTATAGTTAACAATACTGTATTGTATATTTGAAAGTTGCTACGAGAGTAGATCTTAAAAGTTCTTAGCACATGAGAAAAAACTTGTAACTGTGAGGTGATAGATGTTAAGTATTCTTAGTGTGATCATTTCACAATATATACATATATCAAATCATTATACTGTTCACATGAAACTAATACAGTGTGATATGTCATTTATATCAGTTAAAAAAAGAAAAAGAAGAAATAATTGGAAAGTATATATTATTTAAGAACTATATAACAATATGCCCATTAAATTTTACCTAAATGACATATTGTGCATGAAAAATAACTATTTTTCAAAGTAACAAAATTAGTGAAAAGACTGGTGGTATTTTTGCAAGTCTCTTAAACATCTGACTTAATAGAAGACCAACTGGTTCTCACATCTTCTGCATTCAGCCTATTGTGATACATTGTTTTGGCTGAAGTATATGAAAAATAAATCCTTCACACAGAGTATTGGAGATATGGAAAAGAATGAGTATTTTAATAGCCTTTTCAGATAATTGTGGATATTCTGTACCTGAAAAATCATGTCAATGAACTTTTCATGCTCTTAGATTAAAATCCATTGGTCTATCTTGTTTATTGAATGATTCTTTTACCAATGAGTTTGCAACATTATATATCCATCATTTGGAAAATATTTTTTCATTGAATTACATAGATCTTCCAAATATTGATGTTTCATTATATAATGTAAAAAAATCATATTCATTGATACTACCACCACTGTCATCATCAGAAAAGTATAAAATATAGCTCGAGGAGACTGGATTTTCCAAGCTTTAACTTGCACCTGAAAGCTCAAATGTTATCATTGGCAAAAAATTCTGCCAACTTTTTCCTTGAAGTGATTGGCTCACGTCATTGATTTTCAGGATGTGTCAAATACCCAAAGTCTGAGCAACCATTTTGACAGTCCTGCTTTAAAGTGGTGTTCCATGAAAAAAGTGGCTAGTTCAGCTCACAACTCAGTTGCCTGAGGGCTTCTAGAGATAGTCTTCATATTTCAGTCTCCAGCAGAATGCTTCACACAGAGGATTAAAAAGATGAGTTAAGGGTTGAGTGTTAATAAAATTAATTCTTAATCAAGGACATACTTACGTGAAACCTGTTATTAACTGTGAGGATGTGGTGATGATGAATAGAGTGACCACTGGTGCGGTTTGGTGCCACTGCCATGTTTTGTGCTGAGGCACCAGCACTGGTACCCACTGTTGCTTCTGTACTCTCAATGCAGGCATCACATGGTGACTAAGACAAATAACTTCTTAGTGCTCTTATAGAAATGGTTTTTGCCTCACAGACTTCTGAAAGGGTCTCAGGTACCCACAGGAGTTCACAGACCACATTTTGAGAACTGCTGCCCTAATATATCTACTTAGAAGTTGAACTGCTTAGTCTAAGGATCACACACATCTTTAACATTACTAGAGATCTCTTAGCAGTGTGTGAAATCTCTTAGCAGTGTGTGAAAAGTCCTGTTTCCTCACATTCTCACTGACATTTGAGGGTATTATCAAGACTTTAAATGTAGATCTGTCTGATGGGTATCAAATGGTATCTTGTTTTTTTTTAATCCTCACCCAAGGACATTCCTACATTTATCTTCAGATAGAGCGGGAGGGAAGAGAGGAAGAGAGAGAGAAACATCGATGTGAGAGAGACACATCAACTGGTTGCCACCCACACGACCCCAGCTGGGGCCAGGACAAACTGCAACTGAGGTACGTGCCCTTAGCGGGAACTGAACCTGGGACTCTCTGGTCCGTGGGCCGATGCTCCAAATGCTGAGCCAAACAGGCCAGGGCTTGTTTTTAATTTATATTTCTTATTACTGGTGAATTTGAACATCTTGTCATAAATCTGTTAGCCATTTTTATTTTTTATATGAGTTTGCTGTTCATATACTTGGCCTGTTTTTCTTTTTGACTGTAAGCCTCTTAGTTTGTGTAAGTTTTTCTATATGCTCAATTTAATTGTTGTGGACTATTTCTGGGTTCTCTTTTCTGTTCTATTGATCTCTATGTCTATTCCTTCACCAGTACCACACTGTCTTGATTATTAAAGCTCTATAGTATGCACTAATAGCAGGTACAGTGATTTCTCTCACTTTTCTTTGTTGAGATTGTTTCAGCTGTTTGCTTAGCCTTTCCATATAAATTTTAGAAGAAATGTGTCTTTGTCTATAAAACACCTTGCTGAGATTTTGATAGGAATTACATTAAATCTATAGATTACTCTGGCCAGGTGGCTCAGTTAGTTGGAGCATCGTCCCATACACCAAAAAGGCTGTGGGTTTGATTCCCAGTCAGGGCACATACTGGAGGCAACCAGTCAATGTTGCTCTCTCACATTGATGTTTCTGTCTCTCGTTCCCTCTTCCTCTATCTCTAAAATCAAAAATCATATTCTCGGGTGAAGATTTAAAAAAACAACAACTGTAGGTTAATTTGGAGAGAATTGACAAGTCTTCTAATCCATGAACATAGTAGGTCTCCATTTATTTTATCGTCCTATAATTCTCAGCATCCAGATCCTGTATATGGTTTTTTTTAATTGAATTTATTGGGGTGACATTGGTTAATAAATTTATATAGGTTTCAGGTATACAATTTTATAATACATCATCTGTATATTGAATTGTGTGTTCACTACTCCAAGTCAAGTCTCCTTCGACCACCATTTATCTCTCCTTTACCCTCTTTTACCTTCCTCCACCCTGTTTCCCTTTGCTAATCACCATACTGATGTCTGTGTCTATGAGGTGTTTTTTTCTTAATTCCTTCACCTTTTTTACCCAGTCCTGCAACCCCTCTCCCCTCTGACAGCTGTCAGTCTGTTCTCTATCTATGAGTCTGTTTCTATTTTGTTAGTTTATTTTGTTCATTGGATTCCACATGTGAGTGAAATCATATGGTATTTGTCTTTCTGTGACTGGCTTATTTCACTAAGCATAATGCTCTTCAGATCCATCCATGCTGTCACAAATGGTAAGATTTTCTTCTTTTTTATGGCCCAGTGGCATTAAATTGTGTAAATGTACCACATCTTTTTTTTTTCCTCACTCAAGGACATTTTTGTATGTATCTTCAGATAGAGCAGGAGGGAGGAAGAGAGAGAGAGAAACATCGATATGAGAAAGAGAGAGACATGACCAGTTGGCACCCACATGACTCCAATAGGGGCCAGGATGAACTGCAACTGAGGTATGTGTCCTTAGCAGGAACAGAACCTGGGACTCTATGGTCCGTGGACCAATGCTCTAACCGCTGAGCAAAACTGGCCAGGGCTACCACAGCTTTTTTATCCACACATCTACTGATGGACACTTGGGCTGCTTCCAGATCTTGGCTATTGTAATTAACGCTTCAGTGAACATAGGGTGCATATATTCTTTTGAATTAATGTCTCGGATTTCTTTGGATATATCCCCAAAAGTAGAATTTCTGGGTCATAAGGCAG